GACACACAGCAAGACCCAGGCCCCAGAGCCAGGCGCTCAGGAGCAAAGAACGGGAGCACGGGGAGAGAGGATGGAGAGAGAGAGAGAGAGAGAGAGAGAGAGAGAGAGAGAGAGAGAGAGATGGGTGGAGAAATATGGATGGAAGGGGGGCATGTTGTGAGGGTGAAGACGCAGCCCCAGTCGAAGGAAGGCGGGAAGGAAGGAAGGCAGGCAGGCTTCTGGGGCTCCCACCGACGGCAGTGGGTGGGGTCCCCGAGACAATCGCCCGTAACCTTGCCAGGACACAAAAACAGGTGGCCCAAGGCCTGTGAGTCACCGTGACTCATCCTCCTTTCTGGGGACGCTGACCCCACCCCCTGACCCCCCACCTCGGCCCGGAGCGGGCCGCCAATCTCCTCTCCCGCTGTCCCTGGGTGGGTCCCGGCTCACCGCCCCCCCGTGTCCCTCGCCCGCCCGCAGGAGGACACGGCCACCGCCCTGCAGCGGCTGGTGGAGCTGACCGCCGCCAGGGTGGCCCCGGTGCGGAGTGTGCGTGCCCAGTACCGCCTCATCCGAAAGCTCGGCTCCGGCTCCTACGGCAAAGTGCTCCTCGCCCGGCCTCGCCAGGGGGGTGAGTTCGGCCGCCCCGGAGCAGGCAGAGACTCTGGGACCCCCCCCTCCTCCGCCCCCCCGTCCCCTCCCCAGTGTAAGGTTTCCCAGAAGCCCACCCCGGGGAGAGGCGATGGGGACCCTCGTCGGTCAGGACTCTCCGAACGTGAAGGACTCTGTGGCCCTCTGAGGGGCAGAGCCCGCCCAGAGAGGGCAGGGAGCTCGCCTGAGGCCACACAGCCGGCCGCGGCGCGCCCTGAGTCCCCTCCTCGCCCTCTCCGCCCACCGCAGGCCCCGCTGTGGCTCTGAAGCTCCTCCGCCGGGACCTGGTGCCCAGGACCACCTTCCTGCGGGAGTTCTGCGTGGGCCGCTGCGTCTCCTCGCACCCGGGCCTGCTCCAGACGCTGGCGGGACCCCTGCAGAGCCCCCGGCACTTCGCCTTCGCCCAGGAGTACGCGCCCCACGGGGACCTCAGCGGGATGCTGCAGGAGCGGGTGAGAAAGGCGGGGCCAAGGCCGACCGCGCGTCCGCGCAGGCGCCCCTTCTCCCAAACCCAAGGCTCCCTCCAACCCCGAGTCCCCAGTCAGCGCCCATCTCAGCTCCACCCTCAGTCCCCAAACGGCCTCCTGATTCCCGATCCTCAGAGCAATTTCTCTTTTTCTTTTTTTTCAATATATTTTTATTGATTTTTCAAAGAGAGGAAGGGAGAGGGATAGAGAGTTAGAAACATCGATGAGAGAGAAACATCAACCAGCCGCCCCCTGCAGCCCCCACCACCACTGGGGATGTGCCCGCAACCAAGGTACATGCCCTTGACTGGAATCGAACCTGGGACCTTTCAGTCCACAGGCCGACCCTCTATCCACTGAGCCACACCGGTGGCTCAATGCAGTTTCATGTCAGATCCCAACCCTGATGCGTCCAAACGCAAGCCAAGATGGGCAGGGAGTTGGTTAGGTTGGGGCTGAGGGCAGAGTGGGGCTGAGGAAAGCGGTGGGGACGGAGACCGAGCTGGGAGTCCGGTGGGCACTGAGGTTGGGAGTGTGGGCATGTGTGGCATGGGTGGGCTGAGTTCGGAGCTGTTTGTGGGTTGGCAGTGGGTGTGGAGAAGGGGGTGGGTGGGGCTGGAACGTGAGGCAGAGGGTGTGCATATAGATTGAGTAGGAGATGGGCTGGAGGGGGGTTTCCTCTGGGAAGGAGACGAGGTGCCACTGAACCCATGAGCTTCTAGGGGGACTGGAGCATGATGGCTACGGTGGGACCATCTTTTTGGGAATCGGCTTTAGGTTTGAGATAGGGTTGGGAATAAACAGAAGGAAGGAAGGTAGGAAGGAGGGAAGGAAGGGTGGAAAGATGGCTGGAAGAAAGATGGAAGGATGGATAGGAGGATGAAAGGGTAGGTGGAAGGAAGGATGGGGTGGGTGGATGGATGGATGGATGGATGGATGGAAAGATGGATGAAAGGATAGGTGGTGGATGGATGGATGATGGATTGATGGAAGGATGGAAGGGTAGGTGAAAGGAAGGATGGATGGATGGATGGATGGATGAATGGAATAAAGGATGGATGGATGATGGATGGATGAATGAATGGACAGATGGAAGGAAGGAAGGAAGGAAGGAAGGAAGGAAGGAAGGAAGGAAGGAAGGAAAAAAATCAATGGAAAAAATATCCTCGGGTGAGGATTTAAAGAAGAAGAAGGAGGAGAAGGAAGAGGAGGAGGAGGAGGAGGAACCAAGGCCCCCTGACCTTGACCTCCCCTCGCCCAGGGCCTCCCGGAGCTGCTGGTGAAGCGGGTGATGGCGCAGCTGGCCGGGGCGCTGGACTTCCTGCACAGCCGCGGGCTGGTGCACGCCGACGTGAAGCCGGACAACGTGCTGGTGTTCGACGCCGCCTGCAGCCGCGTGGCCCTCGGGGACCTGGGCCTGACCCGGCCCGAGGGCAGCCCCACCCCCGCGCCCCCCGGGCCCCTGCCCTCCGCCCCGCCCGAGCTCTGCCTCCTGCTGCCCCCCAGCACCCTGCCCCTGCGGCCCTCGCTGGACGCCTGGGGCCTGGGGGTGCTGCTCTTCTGCGCCGCCACCGCCTCCTTCCCCTGGGGCGTGGCGCTGGCCCCGGACCCCCAGTTCGAGGCCTTTGCCGGCTGGCTGACCACCCGGCCGCAGCCCCCCCGGCCGCCCCGCCCCTGGGACCGGTTTGCGCCCGCCGCTCTGGCCCTGCTCCGGGGGCTGCTGGACCTGGACCCCGAGGCCAGGAGCCCCCCGCTGGCTGTCCTGGACTTCCTGGGGGACGACTGGGGACTGGAGGGGGGCAGAGGGGGGCCCGGGGGCTCGGGGAGTATATCCGGGGAGGATGGGGAGGAGGACGAGGAGGAGGAGGGAGGCTCCAGCTTGGAGGAGTGGACAGAGGAGGAGGAGGAGGAGAGGGAGGGGGGCCCGGGAGGCGGGAGGATGGGGACAGATGGGGGAACTCCCCGACCAGGGGACTGAGACAGGTGGCCGGGCCCAAAGCCAGAGGCCCCTCCCGCGGCCTCCGCGGCCACCTGGATGGGCAGACAGCTGTTCCCGAAGGACAGACACAGCCCATCGGCTCTCTCCCTTCTCCAGGCCGGGCATGGCTGCACTATTCCCCCCACTCCCCTGCACATGAGGACCCGGGAGTCCAGGCCCCCAGACCTCCTCCCTCAGACCCAGAAGCCCAGGAGCCCAGCCCTCCTCCCTCAGACCCAGGCCCCAGGCCCCCAGCCCTCCTCCCTCAGACCCAGGAGCCCAGGCCCCCAGCCCCTCCTCCCTCAGACCCAGGAGCCCAGGCCCCCAGCCCTCCTCCCTCAGACCCAGGAGCCCAGGCCCCCAGCCCCTCCTCCCTCAGACCCAGGAGCCCAGGAGCCCAGGCCCCAGCCCTCCTCCCTCAGACTCAGGAGCCCAGGCCCCCAGCCCTCCTCCCTCAGACCCAGGAGCCCAGGCCCCAGCCCTCCTCCCTCTGACCCAGGAGCCCAGGGTCCCTCCAGTCCTGCCTCCACTGGGGGCCATGTCCCAGTGGCCTCCCCTGTCAGGCAGAGGAACTGTGCTCCCTCCCAGGACTCTGTGTCGCATGCTTTCTGGATTTTAAGAGTGGCTGAGCGTCAACCTAGGATCCAGGAGGTCAGGGTTCGATTCCCGGTCAGGGCACAGCCCGGGTTGCAGGCTCGATCCGCAGTACGGGGCGTGCAGGTGCCAGCCGCTCCATGATTCTCTCTCCTCATTGTTGTTTCCCTCTCTCTCCTTCTCCCTTCCTCCCTGAAATCAATAAAAATAGACTTTCAAAAAGAGTGGGCTCACTCTGCACAGCAATGGGGTGTCCTGGGCTGCCCCCCGGGGCCGCAGGGGCTGCTGGGGGAAACGCTGGTGGCATGGGGGGGTCGCGAGTTTGTCTGTGGATTTCTGAGCTGGGCCATCGGCCAGCAGACGCTGAGCCAGGGGGACCCTGGGCGGGGAGAGGGGGGAGTGGGGATGGGTGGGAGGGGACCCAGGTGGCATGAGGATGGGGACAGAAGGAAAGCTCCCGGAGAGCTCAGCACCATCTCTGCATCCGTTCCAAAAAGCCTAGCGTTATTCCAGAACAAAGGTTTGTTCTGAAAGAGCTTGCTGTCCGCCGGAGGGCAGGGGGCCCGGCCCAGGGCAGCGTCCTCGCTGAGACCCGGGTCCCGGCCCGCCTCCCAGTTGTCCGCCACCTGCTGCCCCTCGGGCCCAAGTCTGAGCTCATCCCTCGCCGCATCGCGCTGGAATCCGTTGTCTCATCCTCTCCCCCGGGACCCCGGGGTCCTGTCCTGGGACACCCCCACCAGCCCTGGTGTCTGACCGGCCAGTGGGCGCGGACGGGCAGCTGTGGTCACGGCAGGGGACGCACAGAGAGATGACGTCACCTCTACAGGTGGTCCCGATCCCGGGTCCCAGGGAGGAGGGGCTGGGGGCCTGGGCTCCTGGGTCTGAGGGAGGAGGGGCTGGGGGCCTGGGCTCCTGGGTCTGAGGGAGGAGGGCTGGGGCCTGGGCTCCTGGGTCTGAGGGAGGGAGGAGGAGGGGGCTGCGGGCCTGAGCTCCTGGGTCTGAGGGAGGAGGAGGGGGCTGAGCTCCTGGGTCTGAGAGAGGAGGGCTGGGAACCTGGATCCCTTGGTCTGAGGGAGGAGGGCTGGGGGCCTGGGCTCCTGGGTCTGAGGGAGGAGGAGGGGGCTGAGCTCCTGGGTCTGAGAGAGGAGGGCTGGGAACCTGGATCCCTTGGTCTGAGGGAGGATTCAATGTTCTCCTGGGTGTGGGACATTTGTGCCTCCACAGTCAGTTCTGGGAGTCAACACACGATGTCGCTCCATCCCTAGTGGGGCCTTGGGGGCGTGGCCGTGGGCGGGGCTTAGGACCTAGGTGGGGGCGTGGCCTCGCTCCTG